AGTCCTGATGTCCACAGGGGGGTCCCAGAGTCCCCAGAGTCCTCCTAGTGTGACCAGGAGCAATCCCAGTGTCCCGGGGGGGGGTGTCTCTGTGTCCCACGGGTGTGTCCTGGTGTCCCCAGGAGGGTCGTGGTGCCCTCAGGGAGGGCCTTGGCGTCCTTATGGGGGCTCCTGGTGTCCCCAGGGAGGGTCCCAGTGTTCCCAGGGTGGGTCCCAGTGCCCCCATGGGTGTCCTGGTGTCCAGAGGGGGGATCTCAGTGTTCCCAAGAGGGGTCCCAGTGTCCCCGGGGGCGTTCCCACTGTCACCAGAGGTGTCCCAGTGTCCTGGAGGGGTCCCAGTGTCCCCAAGGTGGTTCCCAGTGGCCCTGGGGGGATCTCTGTGTCCCCAGGGCGTCCCAGTGTCCCCAGTACCTGCTGGTACAGGTCCCTGCTCCGGAGGGCAGTCTCCTGCTGCCGGGGGCCCAGGGTGTAGATGACGGAGCGGTACTGGGTGCCCACGTCCTCCTGCTGCCTCATGCCTGGGGGGCAGCCCCCACGGGGGGGTTATGGGGCACCCCCAGACCCCACAAAGCACTGCCTTCCCCCCTGGTGGGGAAACTGAGGCATGGGGGGCAAGGCAGGGGGATCTTGCTAAAGGGGTCGGTGAGGGAAGTCCCTGCAAGACCCCCCCAGCACCAAACTGGGGAGATGCCAAAGACCTTCTGCTGGAGCCTGTTTGGGGTTAAACCCTCCAAAACTGGGGCTGCCCCAGGTGCTGCCCCCCCCACAGCCAGCACCAAGGGGTGCAAATGCCAAGACCCTCCTGTTGGAGCCCATTTGGGGTTAAGGCCCCCCAGACTCCCCCGTGCCCAGGCCAGGGGCTCATCCCTACCTTGAGTGGGATCGTGGTTCTCCCAGAACATTTTGAGGAGCTCCTCGTAGCTGATTTTCTGGGGGTCAAAGACCACCCTCACCACCTCGGCGTGCCCTGTCAGCCCTGTGAGCAGAGCCAGCCCTGCTGCAGCCCCTCGGCGTGGCCTCCTGCCCCCCAGCCTCCCCCTGCCCCGGGATGGAGGCAGGGATTGGGATAGGGAGGGGCACCAGCATCCTCTCACGCCCCGGGACCCCCTTCCCCAGGTGCCTGGTGGAG